ACACCTAAACCTACCCCTTACAGGAAACTTTGTGCTTTTTTAGATTTTCAAAAAAACTAATTCTGAATTATTTATAAGCCTTTTGAAATATGGGGACACTCAAAATGTCCTCATAAATCACCTTCTCGTTGTAATACCTATGTCATACCCATGTCATTATACAAATTTGTGTCCTCATAAATCACGAAAATGCACACACACACACTCACACACACATAGTTCATCTGCATACATTAGTGACCCACACCAGTCCAGCATCCTGAGGACACACTCTCTAACAGCATCTGTTGGGCCTTGAGCCCTTTGGGACGACAGACCAGTCCTGTCACACACACACACACACACGCATATACACACGTGTACAAAATCTGCTTGCCTTGAGGGAAGCGACCTTTGCCCGATGAAATGTATGTAAGTATTGGAGCTGCTGTGGATGTTTATGTATGTGCACCTGCTATGTTCAAGTAAAAATGACAGGAATAATCTCACAGAAACAGATCTCGTATACTCAGACAAGCACACTGCTGAAAACACATTAAGACAGTGCAGTGTTCTTGAGGTCAGTGTGAGTGGTCATGGGGGATTTGTATTTGAATCTGGGCATCTGCATCTATGAAAAACAAATTCTAAAAAAAAAAAATCTAAAAAGACAGGAAAAAATACATGATTTACTATATTAAATACTATGTATGAGGCATAGAATAATAAATAGATATAAATATTTATTTTTTACTTGGAGATTTTTTTCCCCCAAGGTGTGGACATCTCATTCAGATTAAAAAAAAAAGTCTCAACATAGCAACAAAAACACATGAACCTAGTAGGTGAAAGTGAAAAACATTAATATTAATGCGTTATCCATTACATATTAGAACAGGTGCAGTGTGCACTGAACACGCTGCAACTACACAGCCAGACGACTGGCTCATGCAGCTGAATAGACTGGAATGACATGGGCCCCACCATGAAGCTCTGAACCTCTGAGGAGGAAAAGAGGGCCTCACAGCAGAGGTAGCGTTGGGTTATTAGAGAACCCAGGGTGACAGATGTAGGATAAAAGAGAGGGCATCAGCAGGGGTGAAGGAGAGAAGAAAAGGTGAAGAGGTCAGCAGACCAACAGAAGAAGGGGAGGAAGGACAAAGTTGTACTGGATGAAAAGAAGGATCGATAAATCTATCCGCTGTTGCTCCACACTCCGCCTCTTTTGTTCCAGATGGCAGCTTGATGTGTGGCAGGTTGGACAGAGAAATTACGTTGAAACACACATACACTAACGTTTGGGGTCAGCAAGAGTTTTTAATGTAATTGAAAAAAAGTCTCTTATGCTCTTCAAGGCTGCAGTTATTTGGTCAAAAACACAGTAAAAAGAGTTATATTGTGAAATATAACCATTTAAAATAACTGTTTTCTAACTTCAGAAATCATTATAATATGCAGATTTGCTGCTTTAAGAACACTTTTCACTGCTTAAAAACAGCTGTGCTGCTTATTTTTTTGTGGAAACATGACAATTTTTTCATGATTCTTGGATTAACAGAAGTTCAAAAAAACATCATTGATTTGAAAAACAAATATTTTGTAACAATATGAATGTCTTTACTTTCACTTTTGAGCAATTGTGTCCATGCTGAATATACTTCTTTTAAAAAAATCTCTTATTATACATACACAAAATCACAAAAAGTTGGAAAATTGTTTTATACATATCCTTAAACATAAAATGTTTCTTAACATCAAGACCAGCTTTAACCTGAAAGTTTAAAGTTACAAACTTGAACAGGTAAACAAGTTACCTATCTTATCTATCTGCTTGATAATTTACAACAATAGCAAGAAAAACAAACGTGTTTTCAAAGAACTATAAATGTAAAAAAAGGCAGTTTATTGTAGCCTAAACTAAAAAAATATATATATATATTATTGTGTATTCAGTGTGCCGTCCAGTGTAGATAGCCTATATGATAAATCACTGATATATTATACAGACATATTCACAATCTGCAGACAAACACAATACAGTACTTTTTTTAAGCAGAGGTCCCTAACCACACAATAGGGCTACCAGCTGCCGTCTCTCTCTCACACACACACACACACACACACACACACAAAGCATTCTCAACCACAGCCCTACATCAGCACACACACACACCCCCAACACCACTAGCATCAGAAACACACACAAACTAGCAGCTGTTTAAGCAGAGCTCTTCATCCCTGGAGGCCAGAGAACAATGCTCGAGTTCTAATCACTTCTGGGCGTCCACGTCAGTATTTCAATACAAGTATAGACACAAAACGTATATGTGTGCAAAAAAGGAACATAAAATACACACTAAACTTTTAATTTAAACTTTCAACTAAAATTTATTGAAATATCTGGCTCATTTATGGTGCGGTTTTCATTCAGAAACCAAACATACACACGCACATAAAACTCACTGCTGGACAACCCAATGACTTTGAAGAAACACGTGCAGAAAAATAATCAAGAGGACTATTTTGTGTGTAAATTAAAACACACTGCCCTCTAGTGACAAAACAACAGCATTAAAATCTTGACATACGAAATTTAGTTCCTGAAGATGTACATTTGTCCTACTTTCCTAAATCAATGTACACAAGCATAAGAAAATAATACATTTATAAAGTTCCACTGGAAAAAAATGTCCTACTAGACAAATTATGAGACCAATTTTAATCAGATCCAGATGTCTCAAACCTTATTTTACACTGTATATTGGTCTTAGAAAAGTTTCAGTTCTCCTTACCATTAATTATGTGACTGCATATAGTGCATATATAATGTTTCCTGTCTGTCAAAGTTAATAACATCAAATATCACAGAAACATCATCTCTTACAAAGTTGTAATAAATATAAAACGTGTTTGAGTAAATAAAACACTCCTTACAGCAGCATTCAGATGATAAACTTGCTACAAATACACCTCATTCTCTTAACAACCTACAAGGTCATGACTGATTACAGGATTTTAAACAATGACTTGAAATGCCTTGTATGTCATCAGAAATATCAGGGGAACATTCATTCATACCAACATTCTTTAAAATATCTTCTTTTGTGTTCCGCAGAAGAAAGTAAGTCATACAGGTGTGGAACAACATGAGGGTGAGAAAATGACGACAGAATTTTCATTTTGGGGTGAACTATCCCTTTAACGAGTCGACAGATGTTAAATAAAATTCATAAATTAAAATGAATTTTAAAAGTAGGTCCTGTGAATCACCCCACAGCAGGTTAATCTCAACAATCCCTATGTGATAATGTGGTGAATGAAGAAAAAAGTAATATTTTGTTGTGGAAGATGGCACAAACAAAATCCCTTTGTGGTCTCACTATTGTTTACCATTCACTAAAAACAAAAACCCTAAGCGTGTCCTATTGATAAACAGAGAGTAGGTACAAATGTTAACATCTTTGAATTTTTTACAAAATCATCTTCTCAAATAGTCGCCTTTGCACTTAATCACAGTATTTTGACATCCTGACACTGAACCTTGTGATGGTCAGCAAGGTTCCAGTGAGAAGTTGTGTCTGTCTATATCACACAATATTTGCAGCCTGGCTGCAGTATCGTATCAACAATGTGTCACACACCGTGTTGCTTGTTGGTTGTCATTTGATTGCTAAACACAAATTTCACAATGCAGGTTTGCCGTTGACTTTTTCATGCAGTATCGTTAGCGTGCCAGAGGCAAAATCTCGCAACACTTGCACAGTGTCCCTCTGTAGCTGCAGTGATTCTCGTGCAAACTCTTGTTGCGTCTCTGCTAGCTGCTGCACTGACTCGGCTAGGAGCTCAAGTGAACGGGAGACTGTGGCAAGAAGAGTGTTGGTGGTGTGCTGCTCTTGCACGCTAAGGCTTGCACTGTGCACTAACTGCTCACGTGAACTGTCTGGCTCCACCCCCGAGAAAGATGAGGGTCTTTTAGTAGAAGTGGTGGCTGTGGAGGAAACGTGTCCAGCTGTTTAAGCAGAGCTCTTCATCCCTGGAGGCCAGAGAACAATGCTCGAGTTCTAATCACTTCTGGGCGTCCACGTCAGTATTTCAATACAAGTATAGACACAAAACGTATATGTGTGCAAAAAAGGAACATAAAATACACACTAAACTTTTAATTTAAACTTTCAACTAAAATTTATTGAAATATCTGGCTCATTTATGGTGCGGTTTTCATTCAGAAACCAAACATACACACGCACATAAAACTCACTGCTGGACAACCCAATGACTTTGAAGAAACACGTGCAGAAAAATAATCAAGAGGACTATTTTGTGTGTAAATTAAAAGACACACTGCCCTCTAGTGACAAAACAACCGCATTAAAATCTTGACATACGAAATTTAGTTCCTGAAGATGTACATTTGTCCTACTTTCCTAAATCAATGTACACAAGCATAAGAAAATAATACATTTATAAAGTTCCACTGGAAAAAAATGTCCTACTAGACAAATTATGAGACCAATTTTAATCAGATCCAGATGTCTCAAACCTTATTTTACACTGTATATTGGTCTTAGAAAAGTTTCAGTTCTCCTTACCATTAATTATGTGACTGCATATAGTGCATATATAATGTTTCCTGTCTGTCAAAGTTAATAACATCAAATATCACAGAAACATCATCTCTTACAAAGTTGTAATAAATATAAAACGTGTTTGAGTAAATAAAACACTCCTTACAGCAGCATTCAGATGATAAACTTGCTACAAATACACCTCATTCTCTTAACAACCTACAAGGTCATGACTGATTACAGGATTTTAAACAATGACTTGAAATGCCTTGTATGTCATCAGAAATATCAGGGGAACATTCATTCATACCAACATTCTTTAAAATATCTTCTTTTGTGTTCCGCAGAAGAAAGTAAGTCATACAGGTGTGGAACAACATGAGGGTGAGAAAATGACGACAGAATTTTCATTTTGGGGTGAACTATCCCTTTAACGAGTCGACAGATGTTAAATAAAATTCATCAATTAAAATGAATTTTAAAAGTAGGTCCTGTGAATCACCCCACAGCAGGTTAATCTCAACAATCCCTATGTGATAATGTGGTGAATGAAGAAAAAAGTAATATTTTGTTGTGGAAGATGGCACAAACAAAATCCCTTTGTGGTCTCACTATTGTTTACCATTCACTAAAAACAAAAACCCTAAGCGTGTCCTATTGATAAACAGAGAGTAGGTACAAATGTTAACATCTTTGAATTTTTTACAAAATCATCTTCTCAAATAGTCGCCTTTGCACTTAATCACAGTATTTTGACATCCTGACACTGAACCTTGTGATGGTCAGCAAGGTTCCAGTGAGAAGTTGTGTCTGTCTATATCACACAATATTTGCAGCCTGGCTGCAGTATCGTATCAACAATGTGTCACACACCGTGTTGCTTGTTGGTTGTCATTTGATTGCTAAACACAAATTTCACAATGCAGGTTTGCCGTTGACTTTTTCATGCAGTATCGTTAGCGTGCCAGAGGCAAAATCTCGCAACACTTGCACAGTGTCCCTCTGTAGCTGCAGTGATTCTCGTGCAAACTCCTGTTGCGTCTCTGCTAGCTGCTGCACTGACTCGGCTAGGAGCTCAAGTGAACGGGAGACTGTGGCAAGAAGAGTGTTGGTGGTGTGCTGCTCTTGCACGCTAAGGCTTGCACTGTGCACTAACTGCTCACGTGAACTGTCTGGCTCCACCCCTGAGAAAGATGAGGGTCTTTTAGTAGAAGTGGTGGCTGTGGAGGAAACGTGTCCAGTACTGCCTCTAGTTGCAATTCCATCTTCCTCAGAGTACGAGTTAGTGACAGATGCCATAGAGGATGTTGGGAAGAGGTCACGGTTGTCCTCATCTGAGTCTAAGTGGGATTCGGGATCTGTGATCAAGCAAGTAAACAGTTTTTTGTTTTTTTAAGTTATACATCATATGATCAATTGTTTTTGATACACATACTAGGGTTGGGCGATGTCTACCATATTGGCATCGGACGATGTCTACAGTGAAACATCGTGATGGACGATGACATCGGGGGGCGGGGTTGGGTGGTGTGCCCGAAGCGTGAATCCGTATGCAGAAAGGCACAGAAAACAAATAACACGTTCTACGGAGCCACTAAAGGGACATGGTTTGCCGCTTGCTAGCGGTAGACTGTTACATTACAGTACCTGAAAGTTCACTTACCACATACACTGAGTAAGGAGAGATGACTGATAGGACAATGGCGAATGATTTGCAGATCCTGAGCACCCATGACAAATATCTAATCTTGAAAAATGTGTGGTAGGTACTGCCGTTCCGTAGTATAGAGTCCGTGTAATCGCGAATCTCGAAAGTGAAAGTGAAAGTAAAATGAGAGTGCGCATTCGAAAGCGGTTTCAATGCCCTGCATATCAGTAGCAGCTCCCTGATGCCCGCAATTTATATACAGTTTAATTACCCAACGATATAATTGTGAGAGAAAGTATTGATCATCTGCAAATAAAGCATTAGAAATTAGATATTTGTTTAATTTTTATTTAGTTTTTGACTGTTAAAACAAAAAAATATTTGTTGTTTGTCTCAATAAATTGAATTAATAAAAAAATACAGTGGTTAAATGTAAAAAAAAAAATTCTATTGCTCTTGGTTTTAAAAAAGGTTATAAAAAATGTCAATAATTATCGATACCGAACGATATGAAACATTATATCGTTGATACATTTTTCAGCTATATCGCCCAGCCCTATGTAGTACACTTAATTTCCTTTCCGAACACGGAATTGGGATGCGGCGGATTGCAGGGGGGTATGGGTGGGTCACGATGCCGGTCCAACATCGTGATGTCTGTCAGCCATCGGCGATGGACAATGGCATCGCCTATCGGCCCAACCCTAACACATACACACACAAAATATATGTATAGCTTTTTAAAAAGCTTTCACACTTCACAGTGCTTATAGAGAAAATGTGCATCAAAAAAGTCATGTGACTGCCTTGAGTCGTGTGACTAAATTCATAAAAAAAAAAAAAAAAGTCAGAAATGCTGGAGATAAAGCCTGTCATCAAAATGATTGGCTACATTTAACGGCCAGATATTACGTTGTTACTCTCAGACATTAGGCATCTGCCAACAAACATGAAGTTCATCAGAGTTTTGTCTGCTCGCTTTAAAACGTCATTACATTTATTAAAATAGCAACTGTGGATTCCCCAGGGGCTACAACTTCCTTTTACGTCAGATTTTTTGTTCTGAACAGATGGGCTGAAATTATTGCTTTATATACAAATTGATTTGCAATATTGGAAAAGACTTTTTACAGAAATTATTTTTTATTTATTTAAATTATTATTATTATTATTTGGAAGAAATTAATACTTTTATTAAGCAAAGACGCATTAAATTGATCAAAAGTGATAGTAAAGACGTGCAATGTTACAAAAGATTTCTATTTCAAATAATCGCTGTTCTTGGAACTTTCTATTCATCAAAGAATCCTGAAAAAAGTCCATCATGGTTTCCAAAAGTATAACTTTTTTCAACATTGATAATTAGAAATGTTTCTTTAGCACCAAATCAGCATATTAGAATGATTTCTGAAGGACCATGTGACACTGAAGACTGGAGGAATGCTGCTGAATATTCTGCCTTGCTATCACAGGAATAAATTACATTTTTGAATATTAAAACAGAAAACAATTCCTTTAAATTGTAATAATAATATTTTATAATATTACTGATTTTACTGTATTTTTGAGTGGATAAATACAGTCTTGATGAGCATAAGAAAACAACAAACTTTAGAACAGTAGTGTAGCTTTTGCTTTTTACAGAAATTATTTATTTATTTATTTAAATTATTATTATTATTATTTGGAAGAAATTAATACTTTTATTAAGCAAAGACGCATTAAATTGATCAAAAGTGATAGTAAAGACGTGCAATGTTACAAAAGATTTCTATTTCAAATAATCGCTGTTCTTGGAACTTTCTATTCATCAAAGAATCCTGAAAAAAGTCTATCATGGTTTCCAAAAGTATAACTTTTTTCAACATTGATAATTAGAAATGTTTCTTTAGCACCAAATCAGCATATTAGAATGATTTCTGAAGGACCATGTGACACTGAAGACTGGAGGAATGCTGCTGAATATTCTGCCTTGCTATCACAGGAATAAATTACATTTTTGAATATTAAAACAGAAAACAATTCCTTTAAATTGTAATAATAATATTTTATAATATTACTGATTTTACTGTATTTTTGAGTGGATAAATACAGTCTTGATGAGCATAAGAAAACAACAAACTTTAGAACAGTAGTGTAGCTTTTGAAAACATGATTGATGGTTCATTATTGAGATCAGAGCAAAATATGCAAATACTTAAAGTACACTGATAATTCTTACAGTGAACTTTTACTGGTAACAGATCGCTGATGTGGACAAATCCACACTGCAGTGCAAAATCTATTGAAAATTATTAATATGATCCAACTTAAGTATTTTGTTTACCTCCAGTTTTGGAGTTGTCATAATGCACCTCACTTGCACCCCCAGATCCACTTGTAATAGCAGGCATTCCTCCCACATCCATTCCTCTGCTCGGGGAACTGTTGACCGACCCCATCCCCACAAACCCTCCATCCTCCTCTTCCTCATCCTCACACACAGCCTCTTGATCGTCACCTTGACTGCGAGATCTGGACCGCTGTGTAACTTCCCACGGTCTCTTGTCCAGATCGAGGATGGATTCCACAATGACTTCCATTGGGGACAGTTCAATATTGGACCGTGCCAATCTCTGGGACACCAAAAGACCCGTCCGCAGGGCAGCCAATTTACGTTTCGTGTCGCACTTAAGATCTGACCATTTCTTGATCACCTCCATGATCTCTCTGTCACACTCTCCAATCTCATTAACACGTGCCGTGATCTCAGCCCATTTCCTGCGCTTCACGTCAGAGGGAACGCCGGCGTTAAACTTACCTATGCACAGACACAGAAAAGTATTGGAACATCTTTTACCGTTTAATGGTTTTATAGGGACAAATAAAATTACTGGTGGTTTTGCGGAACTGAGTGAACTCAGTTTATTACAGATTGGTAACTTGCTCAGCCAAGTTTTGCTTGTCAAACGGAGGAAAAACTCACCCACAACAATGTGGCGGTTCTTCCGCACTTCGTCCAGCAGGATGTGCACTTCACTGAAGGAGAAACGTGCCTTTCTCCTCTTGAAGCGCACAATGTTGTCTTGTTTGAGGTAGAGCGAAGACACAGACATCTTCACAGCAGTAAATGGAAACGGTGCCATTTTAAAAACTAATGGCATGTAAAGTTGAGATATGTTCTGTCACATGTCTCATAAATCAGTGAGTATATAAATCACGTACAACTAAACCAAAGGTCCATATTCCACTGTAAGGTGAGCATGCAGTGAACATCAGCGTCACCGTGAGTGCAAAATAGTTCAGATTAATTATTCACATTCACTTGATTTCCAAATACAAGATGATCTTAACACATGAATGTGACGGAAGGAAGAGCAACTACAACACCGGCTCATTCATTCACTCACTCACTGTAACCGTACGAGCGCATGTTTGCATCGAGGTGTAGTTAGAGCTGTAGTTACATAAATACAGCGACATTACGATCACGCGTTCTGTCTTTGCGCCGAGACAGCGCCGTCGATGTAAACAGCTGAATTAAACCGAACACAAACATCCCCAGCAGCACACAACAGTAAACATAATTCATGTTTTTTCTAAACAGAACATCATTTTTTATCATAACGAAACAAAACGCTTGGATGCGGAAGGACATTTCGCCCTTATTTTCTTATTACGTTACCTACATCACTACCGTCTAGCTATTTAAGCTAGCTAACGTTAGCTATTTTACACGATATGTGGCATCTTAAGTCACTTTCTCGGTCAGTTTGTAAACTCTTGAATCGCCATAAGCATATAAAAGTACTTTAAGACTGCAAAAGCGTCGCATAAATACCTCAGTGGTCAAATGTAATCAATATTTTGCGTTGCGCCCAGATATCCAGAAACTTCGTAGAGAGCAGCGAATGCTTTGCGCATGCGCACTAGCTCGCCCGTTCTCCATGGCGTAGACGGGTGGGTGCAGTTACCGCGTCTGACCGCTCCTGTATAAGTGGCGCTGGTGCTCACTAACCCCAACAGGTTCAGCACTCATGCTTTAGCCAAGGCTGACGGTAATGACACATTAGCTAAAAAAAATCGCTTTCTTATGTTTAGGTTTTATTTATAGCTACTGGAATTAAATATATGCCGGATATATAATATAGAGAAACAATGACAAAATATTACTGCATCAAAACATACATCAATGATCATCAAATGAATCAATAATCAAACTGATGATGAAAAACAGACAAGTTTATCACTTTATACTTTTTTTTATTTAATATAAAATTGCATTTGACATAAGATTTTCATGAATTCGTGGCAATATTTTTTATCCCTTATATCCCCCATTGGCCTCATGCAAAATGGCACCAACTGACAACAAGAATATGTAATACAGTTTTGCATATTTGTGACTGCACCTAGACTCTTCATTTGAGCATATTTGTTAATTTTCTTTGACAAATTTCTTGTAATGTTCTTTCTTTGGTTAGTTTTCTTTTAAACAACGCTACTAATGGGCTAAACCCCCCCCCCAAAAAAAAAACAATTGGTAGAATTAAAACTTATAGAGAAAGACAATAGCATAGTCGAGTGACCCACATAACCCCAGTGGTTGACCAGCTCCATGCTGGTATTTCTCTGGAATTAGTGAGTGAGAAACAAGAGAGGGAGCTGTGTAAAGCAGAATGTCAATATTGCATAATATTTCAATAAGCACTAAACTGATTGTTTCGATCTGAATTGATTGCAGGCCTTCACATCACTCAAGAGTACATTGTCAGCTGCAGCCACTGTGAAGAGACAGAGTTTTATTTTATAATTATATATTACAGAACATTTTATCCTCAGTAAATATGATACTAATTTTAAGAGAATGTAACTAGCCAAAATGTCCTTACCTCCTGAACATTGACCTTGATTGTGCCATCATTGTCTTTGTCAAGAGTCTTGAAGGCACCTGGTGTCAACATAAGACATGAATCAATATTTTTAACACTTCATTAACTAAAGAATAATTTCATTTATTCTGTATACATTTACTGACACATAGCTTAAAGGAGTCTTATAATGCAAAAAAACAAAAATCTAATTTTTCCTAAGCTTTTAAAAATATTTTATAAAGATTCACTATGCAAACACAATATAACTTTCAGATCCAATGAGAGATCCCAGAGTCCTAAACAACCATTTATTATAACTGTGCTGAAAAACATCTAATTCCAAAATTACTGGATTTTTAGACATCATAAATTTTATCTCTTTAAAGGGGTCATATGATGCGATTTCAAGTTTTCCTTTCTCTTTAGAATGTTACAAGCTCTTGGTGCATAAAGAAGATCTGTAAAGTTGCAAAGACTAAAGTCTCAAATTTAGCAACATCATATGGCCCCTTTAATATATATTCAATGAATGAACAAAATGGCTGAAATTACCCAAAGCCTGCAGGGGGAGCAAGAAGTAATTGAATTGAGTAAATTTGGTTTAAAAAAAAAAACACCCTCAATTCCTCAACAGCTCCCTTAAAGATGCATGAAAATGGACTGACAAACAATGTTTTCTTTCTTGTTTTGACATGTTCCAATAGCCTTTAGGTTACACCAGACAGTTTTGATACTTGCTATTGCTAGTCAGAGACGTGGCATTGGGGGAGGGGGAATTCCCATTTTAGAAAGCATTTTATTAGACAAACACTTGTAGTGCCTGTGTGTGCAAGTCATCATCCAACTCGAGCAGTACACTAGCACATGGCTTCAAAGCAGACATTGACTAAAGGCCCCAAAACTTATATAAAGTGCCTGCATACCATAAGAGTGAACATTAAGTTGGCCTTGCAGCTGTCATTTTATTAAATGTCTACTAAACAAGCCACCTTTTAGATGAAGGAAAACAAGATTAAGTCAGTGTATACATTTACATGTACTCCAGAAAGAAACCAATTCACTCTGCTAAAACTATAAACAAAAATATAGGCTATATATATTATTTTCCTTTAATAAATCTTTCTAGAATCAACTTACGGCACATGGCATCAAGTCTCACAAGGCAGCCAATGTAATTGTCAAAGTCCATGTTTCCATTCTCATCGCTATACCGGCGAATAATCATCTGAAAGAGCTGATCATTCAATGGGAAACCTGTCAGAGACACATGAGACAGAATACGATTTAGAGGATGAACATACAGTTCAAATGTAATCACCACAATGCATGTATATTAAAGGACAAGTTTGCCAAGTGTCAACCTGCTTTGTATTATTATAATGTCATAGTAGAAGCAACGAATAATGTGTACTCTTTTTCCATGTTACTTATACGCAGATCTCCTGGTTTATTTGTCAGCTAAAGTGTGCAGACCTTCGACAGTTCCAGGACTATTGTTAAAACTACATTTTTGTATCACCACAGTCGGATAGTGCATTGAGGGTGTTGTAGTTTCTCTACCTTTTCGGCAAAAGAAAGTCATGTGGCATCAATAAAAAAAAAACGCCCTTCTGCAGCATAGACAGCCAAGTTATATTAAAAGTCCATCTTGTCAACAGTGAATGACCAGCATTGTTCAGAGACCAGTTCCCACTGGACTCAGCATAGGACTAATATTGTCCAAGATTTTTTTTTTCACCAAACAATTTTCATGCTATCCTAATATGACCTTTATATCTTAAATGTGACCCTGGACCACAAAACCAGTCTTAAGTCGCACAAGGCAGCCAATGTAATTGTCAAAGTCCATGTTTCCATTCTCATCGCTATACCGGCGAATAATCATCTGAAAGAGCTGATCATTCAATGGGAAACCTGTCAGAGACACATGAGACAGAATACGATTTAGAGGATGAACATACAGTTCAAATGTAATCACCACAATGCATGTATATTAAAGGACAAGTTTGCCAAGTGTCAACCTGCTTTGTATTATTATAATGTCATAGTAGAAGCAACGAATAATGTGTACTCTTTTTCCATGTTACTTATACGCAGATCTCCTGGTTTATTTGTCAGCTAAAGTGTGCAGACCTTCGACAGTTCCAGGACTATTGTTAAAACTACATTTTTGTATCACCACAGTCGGATCGTGCATTGAGGGTGTTGTAGTTTCTCTACCTTTTCGGCAAAAGAAAGTCATGTGGCATCAATAAAAAAAAAAACGCCCTTCTACAGCATAGACAGCCAAGTTATATTAAAAGTCCATCTTGTCAACAGTGAATGACCAGCGTTGTTCAGAGACCAGTTCCCACTGGACTCAGCATAGGACTAATATTGTCCAAGATTTTTTTTTTCACCAAACAATTTTCATGCTATCCTAATATGACCTTTATATCTTAAATGTGACCCTGGACCACAAAACCAGTCTTAAGTCGCTGGGGTATATTTGTAGCAATAGCCAAAAATACATTGTATGGGCCAAAATTATAGATTTTTCTTTTATGCCAAAAATCATTAGGATATTAAGTAAAGATCATGTTCCATGAAGATATTTTGTAAATTTCCTACTGTAAATATATTAAAACTTAATTTTTGATTAGTAATATGCATAGCTAAGAACTTCATTTGGACAACTTTAATGGCGATTTTCTCAATATTTTGATTTTTTTGCACCCTCACATTCCAGATTTTCAAATAGTTGTATCCTAACAAACCATACCTCAATGGAAAGCTTATTTATTCAACTTTCAGATGATGTATAAATCT